GAATGAATGAAATCCTTTGATGATTGTGGTTGATGGACAAACAAAGATGGGTGATGGATGGTGTATTGGCCTTATATTCTTGGTCATATGAGGTGACTGATTTAGTAGGTGGTGTATCAACAACAACTCAAATGTCCCTTGGCTTTTTGTGGTTGTTTATTCAGCCCTAGTAGGGAACATTAAGGGGACAAGAATGGGGAATATCTTGGTTGATGTTGTGTTGGGATAATGAGAGATATTTGGCCTGGGATTTATAGAAAAGGATAGAAGGTTTTATTTGTTTATTAAAAGGTTTAAAAGAAAGAAAATAACAACAAACAAAGGTTGTGGTTTACACACTCTTATTTTCGGCCAGGGCCTAAAATAGGAGTAGGAAAACTTTATTTTGAAAAGGAAATATTTTGGATGTTTAGGGAAGGTATGGAGAGTGTGGGCTCAGCCTAGGGTGGGTGTAGGACAACCATGGTGTTGGGTTGGGTTCTAAGACAGGAAAATGGAGAAGTTTCAACCCAATTAATGTCACCACACTTGGGCTTTATTCCCCTGATCTGTCTTTCCCTTGGCGGGCTACGGAGAGTCTTCGGGCATGCTCCCGGATATATATCAATGTATAACGATCCTCTTTTCAAGCCTAGAGCAATAACCAAATTTCCTTTGATCACCTTCCATTTTCCACCACCAAACTTGACGTCTAGTCCCTGTTCATCCAATTGTCCGACTAAGATCAACTTTGTCTTCAGTCTTGGAATCACCCTGACATTTTGTAAGCTCCAAGTAGTTCCAAATGAAGTTTTTAGATCAATATCTCCCATGCCTGTCAGTTTAAGGATTTTCCCGTTACCCAACTTTACCTTTCCAAAGTCTCCCTTTTTGAGATTCACCATCGCCTCACCGCTGTGCATGGCGTGAAACGAAGCACCAGAATCCATGACCCAAGAGTCAACATAGCTTTCTATGCTGAGTATCAATGCATCACTATCATCATCAGATGCATTCCCAACAACTGCGCTAATTTCGTTTTTCTTGTTTGGGCATTGACTCTTGACATGGCCAACTTCTTTGCAGACCCAACACACCACATTCTTTCCAGCCTTAGACGAGCTCTTCCCACGACTCTCACTGTTTCTGTTATTACCTCTTCCCCTGCTAACACTGAGTAACCCAGAAGTAGATCCTCCACTAGCGTTCCTCCGGCGAATGTCTTCACCCAAAACACTATCCCGTATCCGATCAAACTTCAAGTTTCCTGTTCCAGCAGTTTCAATAACAGGTGTCACAAATCCCGACCAACTATCATGCAAGGAAGATAACAGAATCACAGCCTGAGTGTCATCATCGAACTTCATGCCTACTGATGATAACCTCGACAAGATCGAATTGACCTCATTAATGTGATCAGCAACTGGGCTGCCCTCGTTCATTCTCATCATGAACAATTCCCTCATCAAGAACACTCTATTACCGGCCGACGGTTTCTCATACATATTTGACAGAGCTGTTAACATACCACGAGCAGTTGTTTCCTTCATGATATTAAACGCCACACTCCTCGTCAAAGCTAGTGTAATTTTACCTCTTGCCTTTTTGTCCTTTGAGTCCCAAATTGCTTCAGCAGCCTTATCCATTCCATCCGGTTTCTCTTCCAGTACCATGTCNAACCTCGACAAGATCGAATTGACCTCATTAATGTGATCAGCAACTGGGCTGCCCTCGTTCATTCTCATCATGAACAATTCCCTCATCAAGAACACTCTATTACCGGCCGACGGTTTCTCATACATATTTGACAGAGCTGTTAACATACCACGAGCAGTTGTTTCCTTCATGATATTAAACGCCACACTCCTCGTCAAAGCTAGTGTAATTTTACCTCTTGCCTTTTTGTCCTTTGAGTCCCAAATTGCTTCAGCAGCCTTATCCATTCCATCCGGTTTCTCTTCCAGTACCATGTCTAAATCACACTCACCAAGCAACGCCTCTATTTGCATTTTCCACCATGCAAAATCAGTACCGTTGAACTTCTCGATTCGAACCCTCCCGTCCTCGGCCATTGCAAAACGAGAGAAAAAAAAACCAGAGAAATTACCAAGGAATAACGGCCCGAAACCAAGCAACCTCCAAAAGAAAACAAACCCTAAATCAAAGAACCCGAACCAACGAGTACCAGGTCCAAAATCAGAAACCCTAATCGCCAAGTTCACCCAAAACCGACCAAACAACCCCTGACCAGATCCAAACCAGCCTCTGATCAGATCCGAACCAGCCCCTGATCAGATCCGAACCAGCCCCTTAACCGCGGCAGCAAAACAGCAGCAAAAACGATCTTGAACAGCCTTCTTCCTGCGATTGATCCTGTGTAACCATGTGTTTAACCGAACCAAGGCTCCGATACCACTTGTTAGGAATCAGAGATCAGAGGCGATCAAGCGGAAGCGAACAAACAAACACACACACACACAAATAGCAGAAAATAAGAACACAAGATTTAACGTGGTTCGGTCAGTAACCTACTCCACGGGTTGCAACTAGGGTTTATCTTTTATTAGGTGCTCACAGATTATAATTACATGATTGGGTATTTATAAGATATAAACTAGGGTTAACAACTTGCTAAACAAGAAACAACTAATGGGCCCTTTAATTAATAACTAAAACCGGCCCCCCATGTTTCTTCCCTTTAGCCGACTAGGCTTAAAGCCCAAAGCTCTAAAGCCTTCACCGAATAACCCAACACAGTCCATGCGCATATATAGTACCAATTAGAAACAAAGAGTGTGATTAATAAGCCAAGAAAAAGAGCATGAAAGAAAGAAGTCCGTACGTAGAGTGCACAAACAATACCAATTGGAAAGGAAGGCTGTGATTAATAAGCAAAAAGGAAAAAAAAGAAGAAGAGAGATATCGAGAAAGAAAACACACAGCGGTAGAAGTCGAGCAAGGTTGGAAGAGCCGAAAAGAAGTCAGAGTTGAATGAATTTACTAAATTGACTCGGAAAAATGGCCTATGCAACCCTAATGCCATGAGGCGTAAAGGTTCCGAGGCGTACGCAATATTCCGCAATCCCTGATTGAGCGCATTGCGCATGGCGAGATAGCCTTAGGGCGTACTTCTCTCCTAATTAGCTATGAGGCGCGTTTACGCCTCCCCATCTCAAACAATGGATGAGTCACCATAGCACAAAATTGCTAAAAAGTATCAACAACATCACGTTTTCAACGCAACAAGTAAATCCAAACGCGTCGCGAATAATCATCAACAATTGTCAAAAATAACGTCGATCCATTCAGACTTGGAGTTTTATACGGACCCCCCAAATCGCAGTGCACCATATTAAAAACACCGCCTTTAATCAATGCTTATAGGAAAACTTGTGCACGATTGTTTAGCACAGAAACATATCTCACAACATTTATTGTCTAGACTACGGTTGTATTGAACTAGAGCCAAAGGAACGAATGACAACGCATGATAAGAGGGATGTCCAAGACACTTATGTCATAAATCAAAACTATGCTCCTTGAATGCATTAAACACTTACGGTCCTTCGTGTTTGAAATAGTAAAGTCCCTCTCTCAGTTCACCCACACCAATCGTTGTCTTTTGGTGCTGTAATACACAAGATTTGTCTGCAAAACATGCTTCACACATTAAGCCGTTCGTCAATTGGGATACATATATCAAATTGCAGCTTAATGAAGGAACAAATAAGATATCCTACAAGGTCAATGTGTTTGTCAGAGACACCGATCCTGCTTTCACGTTGTTAGAGTCTATTCCACATCGGAAGTTGACTAGAAAAGTAATCGGCATATAAGCTCTTGAGTTGAACTAACTAATCAATTGAATTCAATCCTCTAATGTGGTTCAACCCAAGTGTCTTATTGCACAGTGTATTAATCCCTACTAAATTCTATCATGGTATCAAGGCTAGTTTTAGCCCACCTCGTATTTCAAGGTGTGTGTCTAGACATTTATTCCTAGTAGCCCTGGTCTTTAGCCCAATTGTTCGTGTGGGTGTCTATACCCAGGCACCCAGCAGCTTGTGGTCCTTTAGGTGTTGGTGCAAAAAAAAAAAAGAGAAGCATTCAGAGTGTTAGATTCAACCTGTTAGATTCAAGATGGCCCGATTGTCCACTTGAGGGGGAGTGTTAGAGTCTATCCCACATCGGAAGTTGAATAGCAAAGTAATCGGTATATAAGATCTTGAGTTGAATTAAGTAATCGCTTGAATTCAATCTTTTAATGTAGTTCAACCCAAGTGTATTACTTCCTAGTCCATTAATCCCTACCCCATCCTAAATTCTATCACACGGAAGTAACCCGACTTCCATATGGCAAACTAATATTGCAGGGGTCTGTCCCCCTAATGTTACTCAACAAATTAGTATTTTCTGTCATATGGTTTGATGCCCCTCTATTAATTATCCAATGAGGTGATAAAGAATTACCAGACAGCAATTCATGAAGTGTTGAACCTATTGGAGACATAGACAAGGCATGACGCACTGTGTGCCATTGTTCAGGGGTAAGGTTGTCAATCATAATCGGGAAGATCTGCAAGAGAATCGTTTGAGGAGGTGGCAGCGAAGGCTGTCACCCGCTGCCCACTGCTGTTCTGTCCATGACAAGCGCTCCTGCAGGCACGACCAGTCGACCACCACCGTGGCTACTTCCGCAACCTCCTCCTCCGGTCCCTCGCCCGCTGTTTCGACCTCCCGACCATCCTTCCGGATAGCCTATCAGTTTGAAACACACATCAAAAGAGTGTCCAGTGGGCGCACAAAATTTCCTCCTTCACGACAACCTGGGTCAGTAGCACACCCGTGTTATCGCTAGGTGAAAGATTGCAAGGAGAGATACGACAACGTCATGGAAACATGACATCATTGTCATCAAAATGATCATCCTTCTTGTCCGTCATGATGGCAGTAACTGCAGAGAAGGAAAGAGGGTGACGTTGTGGTGGCTCACAACATGGTCGTTGACGCAACAACGGCATGCACGCTCAGCTCTGATACCATGTAACGCAGGAGTAATTTGTGGGAAAAATTTACTTGTCTATTCTTATGTCCCAGATGACCAAATATATAAGGCACAAAGGGAAATACAATGTATTATTTATTTACGTATACAAACAAATACCAATAAATAGACTCTTCGAATGCCAACCCTTCAAGTCCTTGTCTCTTCGCATCCTTAATTCCTTAACAATATCATATGCATTGTCTTAACTTTTAACTAAATGAATCATTTGAAACGGTTTTGTGGCATTTTTTGACAAATTACACAAAACATTAGCTTTAGATTGATCAAATTAGACTCTCTCTAAGATAAAACTGACAGATCAAATAAATTCTTTTTTTGGACAATTAAGAAGAGTGTGAAGAAGATTATTATGATTATGATTATACACACACACACCTTCCTCTTTTTCATCTTTCTACTTTCCTTTTTGAGTTGCAGCTAAAAAAAGTTCTCATTTCTTTTCAAGGAAAGAATTGTGTGGTTCAACCACACAAGACTATAGAAGGACACCTAGTGCGTAGACTGCCTAGCTGGTGTCTAGGCGATATCTTGGCGGCAACTAAAAATAGGTTGTGTTTACATTTTTGCTTTATACGATTGTTGAGATTTTTAAAAATAAAATACAAATTTAGCTAACATTAATTAATGTGTAACAGAATATTTTATTATATGTATAATTGCATTTCAACTGTTGTATATCTATCTTATCACAATATAAAATATTGTGCATCAAATGATTTACAGATTAACGAATTAACATTCACCAAATACAAAATTAACACATTTTATGTAATATATCTCTATTATTGAGTTGTTACCCTCTATCATATAAAATGTTTAAATATAAAAAAATCATTTTACTTCTGCGGTGGGACCCTTCCTCGGACCCCCGCTTGCGGGGATGCTTTTTGCATCGGATTGCCTTTTAAGCCAAATTAAATAAAATTTGTAAATAGCGGGAGCTGTCCCACCCCTCCTAGGACCCACCTAGGACATCCTAGGTATCCATGCCCATTTTGAGCCTCCTAGGCTAAAGGCAAGGCAATTAAGCGCCATCTAGCCTACCTTTTACAACAATGAACCCACACATTTTCACCATTCTCAATTTCCGTGCAATAGTAAATAAGACTATTAAATTGAAAAGGAATGTTATTTAGGAACGAAGGGAGTATATACTTTTTATGGAGGGGGCAATGAAGGGAGTACTTATCAATTCCTTTTTTTCATACATTCGTTTATACTATTTGCAGATAAGAGATGTCACTTATCAACCTTCTGGGACAAAGCTCACCCTCTTAGATCAAGTCAATTTCTCCCTTCGTCAAAAAAGGTACCATCCGCCTTTTGTTTTTGTTTAATATGGGCACGGTATATTACATCAAACAATTGTATATTTTTTCCCATGCCAATTCTGCATTAATGAAACGTTAGGGGTGAAAGCCCCTACATTTCCTAATTCACCCACGCATTGAAGCAAATTTGTGCAATGAAATCAATATCTTATTTCAGAATCCCCTTGAGCTACTAGTTTTGTTTATCATACTTTTCCAAATTTTCACCTTATTTCAATTTTGAATCAATACTTTTTAGTTCAATTCCATATGTTTCATTTCAACGCATAAAATCATTTTTTAATACACTTTACATAATTACATTAAAAAATACTCCCTGCGCTCGGAAGTTCACTTCCCAAGTTGACCCGCGTGCTTTTTTAGACTTGTTAAAACCTACATTGACTATCCTAAATGTCCCTCCTATACTATTTCTGGATCTAGGAGTTCAAATTCCTTCATTGTCTCCGCTCTATGAGATTTTCACTAGGTCAGTTGTTTTAAATTATTGGTTGATATTTTTTTTTGCTATTATGAACTTCAAATAGTTACAAATGGATAATTTAGATGGGTAATGGTTTTCTTTTATATGGAAAACGAGTAATGTGAAATGAAACATGCAAATCAACCGTTGGCTCATTACCGAGGAAATTCAATGTGCAAGCTCAACAAACACAAGTGAAAAAGATAAGTTTATTCTTGGACAACCAAGTTTAGTGAATGTAGTTCGATGTCGAAATACAAATACATGTAGCAAAGAAGAAATCAATCTGATTTTGAGAATTTAATTTTGGCATTGCTTACAATATTTTCCAAGTATTCTTCCAAACTGGTTCAATGTTGAGGTGTTGCTGTGGCCTGTGTGGCCTTTATGTCATGGCTTTGAGGCCAGGAAGCAGCCTCCTGCAAAAAAAGTGCAAAATATGGTTTGCTTACATTACACCATTGTGGTGGGACCCTTCTCCGGACCTTGCTCAGTGGGGATTCTTTGTGTACCATGCTTCCCTTTTTTATTCATTCAAACTCGGTTGTTGGTACTAGGAAATGATTCCAATTTTTATAGGTTTTTTTATGATAAATAAACTACTATAGAAATAAGTATCTTCGTAAACTATAATTGTTGCAATAACTTTAATACAGATGCTTATTAAAATTTGATAACTAATGTCAAGCAAAATTTATTGATATAGTTATCTTCTCAAATATAAGTTTAAGATATATTGATTCCAAACTCTATATAGTTATTTAATTTGAATATAATTACAAATCCATGTCGAATAGAAATTATAATTAAAATTTTCAACTTTATGTTCCAACACTTTTCTGTGTAGTTCACTTCATTCCAAAAGAAGGGAGTCACTATAAATGCTTTTAAGAAACTCGCTATAATAAGACCACTTACATGTGGTGATTGTAGTCATTCTGTATATAATCTAGAAACTAGCATTTCCTTGGTGAATACCGTATGTGTTGATAATATTTATTTTTGTGAATAGTTAATTGGCATGTGTTGTGTTTTTATTTCCACTTTTTCAGTTGTGGCTTGATTATTGGACGGAGTGGGAGTGGGAAGACTACTCTCTTGCAAGTTTGTGTTACTCTTCATCTGCAACTCTCTTGTCTCATTTTATCCTTGTGTTAAACTTCTGTGCAGCTGATTGCAGGACTAAACAAACCAACATCAGGTTCCATTCACATTCAACAATATACTGATGATGGACAGCCATGTAAGTGTCCTGAACCATTAAACCCTAGAAGCGTTGGCATTGTTTTCCAATTTCCCGAGAGGTACGGCTTCTTACATCTGTTACCACATCAAACTAAACACCACTGGAAATTTAATTTAGCTCTTCTTTTTTGCATTATCTTTATTTTATAAAATTGTGCATGTTGTTATTAGCTATGGCATTTCCATCATCTCTGATGGAGCCAAAATTTCACCATTTTTTGGCTTTGGGGTGTGATGGAATAAATCAAAATGGATCTCTAAATTGTCTGTGCTTCTTTAATTAATGAAGTAGCAGTTAGTCAAGCAATGCAACTTTTGAGCCGGGGGTCTCTTTGGAAACAGCCTCTCTACTTTCGAGTAAGGATAAGGTCTGCATACACACACCCTCCCCAGACCCTACTTTTGTGGGATTTAACTAGGTTGTTGTTGTTGTTGTTGTTATTAGCTATGGTAAGGTCTCTTGGAAACTGCCTCTCTACTTTCGAGTAGGGGTAATAAGGTCTGTGTACCCACACCTCCCCGGACCCTACTCCCATGGGATTGTACTGCGTTATTGTTGTTGTTATTAGCTTTGGTAAATGTATGAGCTGATATTATGTGAGTAATGACTTATATTTTTGGCACTTGAAATTTTTAACTAATGAACCTTTTGCTATGATGTCAACTAGATACTTTGTCGGAGACAGTGTGCTTGATGAAATTACATTTGGTTGGCCAAGACAAAGAGGCACCCTTCATGCTTCAAAGCTCCAAAAGGCTCTTGATTTGGTAACATATTTCATTTTGTCCTATGCATTTGTATTGCTTTTAATTCAAACATTGTTAGAATATAAATAACTGTTCCTGGGCCACAACCACAAGCTTGAGCTTTTGGTTGAGTTGGTTCCTTGACATGGTATCAGAGCCTCGTTGACTAAGAGGTCACGGGTTCGAAACTCAGCGCCACCTAATTTAAAAAAAATTAAAGGTTTCACGTGCAAGGCTCGAAAAAGACTACGCCTGCACGTGAGGGGGCGTGTTAGAATATAAATAACTGTTCCTGGGCCACAACCACAAGCTTGAGCTTTTGGTTGAGTTGGTTCCTTTACAAACATGCTAGAGAGAGAGAGAGATGGTTGCTCTTGACCATATCTTTTTTTATTCTATCTATACTATTAGGTTGGTCTGACAGGAATTCCTCTGGATAAAGACCCCAACTCATTAAGTGGGGGCTACAAACGACAGCTTGCTTTAGCAATTCACTTAGTAAGAATTCTTCTACTTTGGTAGTGCTTCATTTCTTCGGGCTGAAGCATGTCTACCTTGCATTCTTCTTCTTCTTCTTCTTCTTCTTCTTCTATATGTTTGTGATAAGCTAAGTGCTCAATTTTTTTCCACGCATGCATAGGTTCAAACACCTGATTTGTTGGTTTTAGACGAGCCTCTCGCTGGTCTTGGTATGGCCATTCTGCTCTCTCTATCGAAAGAGTATACCCGTGATGTCAATATCCACCAAATTTCATATTGATATTCGGATGGATAGAAAAAATTAAGTTATTACTCCCTCCGTCCCACTCTTTTTGTCCACTTTCATTTTTGCACACCATCCAATGCACTTCTTTAATCCATTTTAGCTTGTAATTTGTATATTAAAAAATTATAAAAATTATATATTAATAATCTATATGTTAAGACAAATCAAACAAGATCACACATGACTATTTTTAGACTTACACATTGAGAGAATTTGATGAGTCAAAGCGCTTAGATGAACAGTTCCAAAAGTCAAAACTGGACAAAAAGAGTGGGACGGAGGTAGTAATTTTTTTCATCTTAAAGTATTAATCATGATATGGACTTTGTTTTTCTCAAACTTGCATGGAAGTACAAAACTTTATTTTTCTTATTTTATTTGCTCATTAATTATTCATTTGCTTGTGCGTAAATGAAGACTGGAAGGCTCGTGCGGACATTGCAAAGTTGCTAAAGTGTCTAAAGAAAAAGCTGACTCTGCTCATTGTCAGCCATGACCTTAAGTGAGTGTTATTGTCTTTCATCTCACTGTCTAGCTGGGAGTGGTTTCTCCTACATTTTCATTGCACTCTCATTTTTTTCCCCAGTTTTGCATGAATTCGTGTGGATGCAATATTGCTTTCGTTGTGTTGGATTCATTACTTTAATATACATTTTTTTTAATTGTTTGTTATTTTGAATGTCATTGAATGTTTACCCTAGAGAATTGGCACCTCTGGTTGATCAAACTTGGAGGATGGAAATGGGGGGATCCCTTAAAGTCGCTGAAACATTTCCCATCTAATGCAGAGGCACAATCTGAGTGATGACACAGGTAGTTCTCATATGCTATCATGGGATCCTATTATGGAGCATGGTTTTCACTTTCACGCCCATGAACAAAAAATAGTTAAGTGTCACAAACTCAAAGCTTTTTCTTTTATTTGATTCGGACTTGTGGAAAAACTAATCAAATCTGTAATTTTTTTATACAGAAACTCGAATATGTATTGATAATGCTCTGTATAAAAAGATTTACTCTGTCTCAAAATGGATTGTACCGTTATTATTTTGTTTTCTTGATTGCTTTGGTTTATGAAGAACTATTATTTTCTGCCAAATATTAACGGAGGGCTAAGCCTCGTATAAATAATACAGGAGAATCCTAACTACGGAAGGAATCCTATACAAGGAAACTACCATGTATACAATGATTACACAATTAATATTAAATATATACATACTATATTTAACATGCGCCCAACTACGTGACCGGAGATGGCCGAACGTCAAGACTGTGTCTGAAATCAGAAAATAGGAGAGACGGAAGCCCTTTGGTGAAGATATCAGCATACTGAGAGGAGGAGGAGACATGTAGGACCCGAACGTGACAAAGGGCAACTTTGTCTCTAACAAAGTGAATGTCGACCTCAACATGCTTGGTGCGCTGGTGCTGAACGGGATTAGACAAGAGGTATATAGCACTGACATTGTCACAGAAAACCAGAGTGGCACGTCGAAGAGGTTGATGAAGCTTAAGGAGAAGATTTCTAACCCAACTAGCCTCTGCCACCGCATTCGCCACAGCGCGGTACTCTACCTCAGCACTGGAGCGAGAGGTAGTGGCCTGTCTCTTGGAGGACCAAGAAATGAGATTGTCCCCAAGGAAAACACAATACCCTGAAGTTGAGCGACAGGTGTCGGGGCAACCTGCCCAATCAGCATTCGAATAAGCCTGTAAGGAATCTGTGCTGGTGCGGTGAAAAGTGATGCCATGGGTAGCTGTGCCGTGGATGTAGTGCAGGACTCATTTCATAGCTGTGAGATGAGAGCTGCGTGGGGCATGAAGATGAAGGAGCTGTTTTACGGCATAGGTGAGATCAGGACGGGTGAAAGTCAGATACTGTAGGGCACCGACAATGGATATGTAGATGGTGGGGTCCGGAAGTGGTGTGCCGGACGTGGCTGACAGCTTTGCCTTGGTGTCGACCGGGGTGGAGATAGGCTTGCAGTGAAGCATGTCAGCCCGCTCAAGGATCTCATGGGCAAACTGAGTCTGATGTAGAAATAGGCCCCCAGCCGTGCGCTGGACACTAATGCCGAGAAAAAAATTGAGATCCCCCATATCTGTCATGGCAAACTCCCCCTTAAGCTTCTGAGTGAGGCATGTGAGAAGAGTGGTGGAGGAAGCCGTGAGGACAATGTCGTCCACATAAAGAAGAAGATAGGCCATGTCGGTTCCCCCGGAGTAGACAAAAAGAGATGTGTCGCTCTTGCATCCTCGGAACCCCAAAGTGAGAAGAAAACCTGCAAATCGCTGGTACCAGGAGCAGGGGGCTTGCTTAAGGCCATATAGGGTCTTCTTCAACCTGCAAACATAATTCGGCCGGGCTGGATCTTGAAAACCAGAGGGCTAGCTAGCATAGACTGTCTCGTGAAGTGTGCCATTCAGAAAAACATTCTTGACATCTAGCTGATGGATAGACCACCCCCGGCTGAGTGCAAGAGTGAGAACAATGCGTACCGTAGCAGGTTTGACAACCGGGCTGAAAGTCTCGTCGTAGTCGATTCCAAAGCGCTGATTAAATCCACGGACCACCCATCGAGCTTTGTACCTGGACAGTTCACCTGTAGGGCTAAATTTGTGGCGGAATAGCCACTTGCCGGTGATAATATTTTGGGTGGCGGAGGGGGGCACTAATTCCCATGTTTTGTTTTTAATCAAAGCATTAAATTCATCACACATAACATTATACCAATTTTGATCCTTAAGTGCACTACGGTAAGTGAGTGGGAGA